TATATATACATAAATGTAGATAAAAATTTGCAAATTGTTACTCTGTTTCTTAACTTTTGTTGGTCTGGAAAAATTTGTTAAACAAAAGTTTGTTCTGATTATATATGCTATTGAATGTGACATGGAAATACTCTTCTCTCTATTTTTATTTTTTAATTAGTTGAAGTCGTATTGGATTATTTAAATGGAATTTTATAATTTTTATACGATAGTCAAAGTTATTATATAATTAATATTGGAATGAGTATAACGAGTGTTACTGTGATTAAATTTTCTGTTATTGAGCACAGTAGTAATTAAAAGGGTGTATATATGTAACTGTCATTAAAAGCTTAATAAACTTGAACATCGAATATATTTTGAGAATGATTCCCAATTTATCATCAGGCTATAATTTTCATAAATTTCCTGCAGCATACTTGAAGTTTTTCTAGAAACAATCCTTGATTTATCGACGAGGTCTTGATATTAATTGGCAAAAATCTTCTTCGACATATTCTAAATCTTGAACACGTTGCAGTTACGTGTCAACACCATAACTATCCTGATACACGTTTAGAAACAAGTTCCATCATTTCTTCAACTTTCACTGTCCAGAATTTTTTGAGTATCTTCCATATCCTGCTCTTTTATTTTTCTACTTTTGAGATGTTATACATTTTTCATTTATTTTCATGTTATTGTATGCAGAATACACTATCGTATTGCATGAATTTATTGTCAAAGACTTTTAAATATTCTTTGTGAAATTATGTATTGTTCTATTCGATGGTAATTCGTTTATGATTGAAAATATTTTTTTTTACTAAAATATGCATATTTTTTCTTAGAATATTTTTTTTAAAGCGAATGAAAAGTTTTTGTCAGTGCTATGCCTTATTCTCACGATGTTCGTTATGTCACAATTTCTCTGGATTATGGTCACGTTACATTAGAAATGTACAATAATTACAGTGAATACTAGATTTTGTATTAACATAAATTTCAAATAATTTATGCTGGAGAAACTATATCTCGGTTTCTTTCATCGTGGAAGGAAGTCGTTAAGTGTAGAGTAATAATTCGCCTAATGATTTACAAATTGCTAGTTTATACAAACGATATGCTCTATAATTAGAATGTTTCCTAATATTGAAGCAACAGGCTTAATTGATACGATTTCTTGTGTGAAGTATACGAGATTTTTCTTTCGTTAATAAAATTTTCATAGGAGTATAATTTTCCATAAATGAAAATAATAGGTCAAATATTTGCAACAAAATGTATTTATGTGATGAAAGTCTTAATTAGTATTTTAGTGTATTTAAATCATAATTATTTCAGGATTTATTGGTACCATTAAATTTTTGAAATTGGGTATTTAAATTTAAAGATTAATTATTTTCATTGAAGTATAGGATGTGTATAAAATATCGATTGATAGAAAGTTACAATTTATGCAATTGTTGAATCTGAACCTAGAATAATAATTAAATTTAAAGAAAATAGAATTTCGTATACAGTAATTATTATATCAAACAGGCTCGATTTTCACGCCAATTAAATTATTAAATTAATCATCCAAATCATAACAAACATTACGTTCTTATCACTAGAGCTATAATTTATTATCATTATGTGTAATTTAAATTAATTAAATTAATAATTAATTAAATTAAACAATTAATGAATTATTCAAATTAATATGTGTAATTCAAATACGTAATTTAAATTTTACAGTCTAATGTTTGCAATATAATAATAATATAAATTATAAAAATAAATTCGAGACAAATTAGAGAATAAATATTCGCTGTAATAAACATAATTCTTCGATTAAAAATTTGTTTTATACAAAAACCGAGTAATTGAAAGAAATATCACGTTATATTTCATCCGAAATTAAACCCATTGTACTTCATTTATCTTATCAATTATCACTTTTAGGTCGGACTATCTATTTTATTTTCTTTCTCACCAAAGAACCGCATTCCGTTGTGGCAAAATAGGTGACGAAAAAGGAATGAAATCTCCAAACCAAAACAGTGAAATTAAACTGACGAGGTACAGTCGAATAACGACGGAAAAAGAAATCTGATTTCTTTTCCGACGCGGTAGCGGTCGTAGCTCGGTACTCGATCCATCCCAAGATCCTCCGGGGTATGTCGAGTTGATTGACAGCCTCGATTCGCGTAATGCCAATTTGTTCGAGTTACGGTCACTAACATCGTCGAAAGTGAAATCGTGGCGTGCAAAAACGTCGACATAGATCTTCGTGATAATTTGTCGTCGGGTTCTTAGCGTTCTTTCTACGCCACTGCCACCGCGACCTTAACAGAAAAAGTGATTTAATTTATTTCAAATTCCTTTCACACGAATTGTCTTGTTATTCGAGTATTCCAAATTAATTGAGTATCTCGTTAATTAGTCTTGATCATTACTGGTGATACTCAACGTTGTGTATTCGTTGCTATAGTATTACTGAAATTTTCGTAAGGAAACGAGTATTTTATAATTAATCACTATGTTCTGACAGACTTCACATTGATTATAAATTCATCACATAGAGATCAGAAAAAATTGTATCAACTAGAAGAAAATATATGTATCATAATGTAGGTATTTTTTATAGTTAATTATGATGTAATACGATGATAATAAATTTACATGTTATATAGAACATATATTTTTAGTGAAGGGTGACTTATTTAATTTCTGTAGACATATTTATTATTCGTTGCTGAGAGTTGAGATTATTGGTAAAATAATATATACTATAGTATCATTACAAGTATATAGGAATAGTATATGATATATTGGTTCCGCCAAGAAGTAATGTCGGTATTTTTAGTGCAATAAATAATTTCAGTGAGGAATGATTCCAGTGGGAATTAGGAATGTCGAAGATTGCTTCACATTCAAAAAAAGGGCATCATCAGCTGCAACAATCTGGCGCGATTTATTGGCCAATCTAATAGTGCAAAAACAATAGCCATAAATATTTCAAGGAAAACTACTATTATTACACTTCCACAATCTATTTACTACTTGAAGAAATTTATTCAAATTATATTCTCATCTGTATCTCATCTATATTGCAGTACATATGTATTCGAGGTCATATACCTTTATTTTCCTATTTCTCTTACACCATTGCAATTTTAATGAGTTAATTTCCACAATCCCCAAGAACCTATGCAATTCAGACATCCAATTAAACATCAAAAAACACTCAAGAGTGCATGCGAACCATAAACGTTCAAGAATCCATGCAAAACAGAGACACGATTAAAAATCAAACACCAAGGAGTCCATGCAATCCATAAACACCCGAGAATCCATGTAAAACAAGCATCCAATTGAAAATCCAAGAATATTAAAGTGTTCATAAAAATCAGAAACACCCAAGAATCTATGCAAATTAGACATTCAATTAAACACCAAAAAACACACAGGAGTCCACGCAAATCATAAACACTCAAGTGTCCATGAAAAAGGGACGTTTAATTAAAAATCAGAAACACCCAAGAAACACCCATACAAACCATAAACGTTCGAGAATCCATGCAAAATAGACACTGAATTGAGAATCAAACGACACCAAGGAGTCCATGCAATTCATAAACACTCAAGAATTCAAGCAAAACAAACACTCAATTAAAAATCGAAGAATATTAAGGTGTCCATGAAAACCAAAAACATTAAAGAATATATGCAAATTAGATATCCAATTAAAAACTAAAAAGCACCTAGGAGTCCATGCAGAACATAAACACCTTAGGGTCCATACAAAAACATCCAATTGAAAATCAAGAAATTCCCAAGAGTCCATGCAAAGGAGACATCCAATTAAAAGTCCAAAAACATTCAGGTGTCCATGAAAACCAAAACCATTAAAAAATCCATGCAAATCAGATATCCAATTGAAAAGCAAAAAGCACCTAAGAGTCCATGCAGAACATAGACACCCAAGAGTCCATACAAAACAAACATCCAATTGAAAATCAAAAAATTCCCAAGAGTCCATGCAAAGGACACATCCACTTAAAAGTCCAAAAATATTCAAGTGTTCCTGAAAACCAAAAATACCCAAAAATCTATGCAAATTAGATACCCATTTAGAAAACAAAAAGCACCCAAGAGTCTATGCAGACCATAGATACCCAAGAGTCCATACAAAACGAACATCTAATTAAAAATCAAAAAATTCCCAAGAGTCCATAAAAACCCAAAACAATTCATAATCAAAGGGCACTTAAGATTCCACGAAAACCATAAACATCCAAGAATGCATACAAAACAAAGATACTCATTTAACAAGCTAAAAAACACTGAAGAATCCATGCAAGATCCACCTGACTTGAACCAGCAATCTACCCTAACCTATTTGCACATCAATCTCTCCCTCACCTGGCATCGACCGCCATCATCATCATCATTCTCGATTTCATCCTCACTCGTCCCGTCGATTTTTCTCGCTGGCTCGCGTTTCACAACGCGGCCTCTGTCCAATTTACACAATTTCACCGCGGGAACAATTACACGATCCGGCCGCGCGAATGTATTACGCCTGGTGCTTTCTCTTTAACTTGAACTTAATTGCACGGCTAACGCGTAGCCTAGCCGCTTCCCTCTCGACGCTGTTACGCCTCTGGCCTGGGTTACATCCTTACCTATCCTGGCCACCACCACCGTGAACGTGGACGATACTCCCTTCTTCCAACGATCACGAGCCTAATTGCCTCACGGTGCACCCGATTCCCCACCTGGCACGGAACAAAAGACGAGGACGTTCAGGTGCCTCCTCTCAGCTAGCCACCATGGACGTGTTCGCCGAGTGAACGTTGCATCCTCAGTGTGATCGCTGAGGATGCAGCGTCACTGTGCTCGTTGACGTGCGTTCATCGACGATTCATCGCGAATAATTTTGCAGACATGCACGAGGGTAAGAAGAGCTGAACAAGAGGACCAAACATGACGAGACCAAGGGAAACGCTTTCTTCGGTTTCGTTGATGACGAGATGGCTTCGAGCGCTGATGCTCTTCGTGGTCGTTGCTCCACTGCATCCTGTCGCTGGTATGTTTACTGATTTTTCATGTGGTTCTTGGTGTTGGTGGCTGCTGGGTTTTCACTCTGGGTTCTCAGTCTCTGTACTGAGGATTCTTGGGGTGGTACATGTGTCGTACATCTGGTACATGAAATTGGTACATCTGTGTTTGAAACTGGAACTACTGTCTACTTAGATGGGACAGAATGATTTTTATTTGTTTTAAATATTTTTATTCGCAGTTACTGAGAGTATACAGTTATTTTTTGATCAAATTAAGCTCAGTTAGGATTGTAACTAGGTGTGCTTCTTTGTTTGCATTGCATCATTTTAATTAGTATCAATTTTAATTCGGTATATGTTATAGGTCGGTAGTTCTAGTGTTAGGTAATCAAATGATAGTTGTTGCAACTATAATTGGTGTTAAATATGTTTCATTGTTTCAAGTAGTAATTAAATGGCAATTTTTACAATGGCAATTAAGAGTGATATAAATGTACTTTATAAAAATGGATATATTTCATTCTCTTTTTGTTATAAATGTGTGAATTTAATATACAGGGTGTCTCTGAAATCAAGTTACTCTAGTTTGTGAAATAATTAAGTGACTATTATTATGATAATAATTTTTCATAATTTCTATGTAATAATTTCTATAGATATTATCATGTCGACAATAGTTGTTAAATATATTCCATTCTTTTGTTTGATTTTGAATACAAACAATTGCAATGTAAATTTTTGCTAAATGTACTCTATAAAAATGAATATATTTAGTTTGATAAATAGTCAAATAGGAATTGTCAATTTAATGTCATTCTTTTTCACATCTGTACCTCATTTATGAGTTTACCAAGCATGATGTGCTGCAAACTAAAAATGTTTGAGAGTCACTGCAGTAGTGGGTGATAGAGATCGATGAGAATGAGAGTGCATTCTCATTACAACGAAATGTTCACGTTTTTATTTTTTTTATGTACTTTAAAAGGCAAGGTTCTATACTCTGTAGCTAGAAAACCAAAAGGAGGAAGAAAAGCTTCGTCTGATTAAGTGATAAACTTTAACAGTGAATAAAATATTCTTTATTTCGCATAAAATACTCCAAATTCATTGATAAAGTGTGACAAATACGATAAAATTGTTTATGTAAATATATTTCTCTCATAAATATGCAAATTTTTGTCACAGAGGTAATCAAACTACAAAGGAGCTCGTGTAAAATGGCAAATTAGAATCGTATTTTAGCAAAGAAGATTAATGAGTTAATTTTTAAGTAAATGCACTCAAATTTCGATTACGTTGCGTGAAATTATTATTCGATAAAATCGTGGTAGCTTTTCCACGAATGTTCCGAGCGTTAACGACATCAACGTGGCGATAATAGCGCGTAAAGGCTCTAAATAAAAGTCATATTGTTTCCGACACACGATATTTAATTCAACAGATACCTCGCACCATCCTCACCGACATAATTTAGTCCTCCACGATCGGATTTTATCGACACTCTTGAACGTCCTACGACCAAGTTTCCGTACAAATCTACGCGCAAGCTTTTATCACGCAATTTTCTGCTCCTGTGGGAAGCAAACAACCCCGTTATCTTTTCCGAACGTATCATTTCGCCATAACACTGTCAACGAACGCCATGTCGCTTTTCAATGTGATTTGACTTGTCGATGACGATCTAGATGTCATTTTCGAGCAACCGAGTTACGTATTTCTTGGAAATTTTATTTGTTATCAGTGAAAATTTATAGATGGGTATATTGTTTAAGAAATATTTATTTTCTGTGGATATTTATGAACTGACTTATTTTTAGGAAATATTTATCATCGACAAAAATAGGTATACCATTTTTGTTATTAGCAAAAGGTGATTTATTGATATATGTACATTTTTAAATACCTGTTACTGATAGAAATTGATACACAGATATATTCCTTCAAAAATATTTGTTATAATGTAATGCTAAAATTGGTACATTGATATTTTACTCTTTTTATATTTATTATTAATAAAATTGGTAAACCAATGTGTTTTTTTAAAGACGTTTGGGATTGGATATTGTCACTGAATGTTAAACGTGTCCTAAAACGCATCATAAAACTAAATACGTGGTTCTACAAATACGAAATGAAATCGAATCTCGGTCAGACACGATATTATAAGAGATTTAATATTTCTCTCAAATTCCTGCAATCGAGAATGACTTTCTTGATTCAGAAATACAGAATTTTGCAAAGTCTTACACTACCTATGTGACTGTTCTAATAATGGCATTAAAAATATTTTTAGAAATATTTCGAAAATATCCAGGACATGAAAATAACTGATAAAAGTAAATCAGTGTTCAAAAATAAATTAAAAATTATTTACGAATGATATAACATTCATCTGTAACAATTTATAGAAGGAAAATATTAAACATAATATAAATATAAAGTAATTAATAAATAAAATAAATATAATAATAATTCCTTTATTACGTGATGTTATTATTAACAATTTTGTTACGAATGTTAATGAAATAATATTCCGTTCAGTTTCTAACAATAGTAATATTTTCCATTATAAAATCTGTAATCACACGATTATAATATAGGGTGTTCCAAAATTCGAGATTTAAATTTTGCGTCATTTGTGCGGTCAATTTTTGCCAACGGAATGAAAAGACAACGTGACAGTTGACAGTTTAGGGTTATTACAAATGGAATGCTACACGAAAGAACAGCACGTCTTCATTGTTGAGCAATATTTACAATTTTCAATATAAAACCTACGTTTTCTATTAAAATTACTTCTTGTGTAAATTTTAGGATACCCCATAGAAACGAATGGATTAAGTATATGGATTTTAAAAACTTCGAAACCGGAAGTACAATTCACAAACGAAGCTCATAAACATCACTGTCACTCGCAAATATCACTGATATAATTCACAAGATAATAAAAATTTGTTATATCTTAAATTACATTTTTCTAAATTTTTCCAAACTTTTCCAAACTTCGAATTTAAACAAAAGCGAAACGAAATTTTTCAGACATTCCAAATTTTCCATTCTCTTTTTTCCAAAGTCTTTTAAACATTCTAGATGATTTTTTCGTAATTTTCCATTCATCTGAAACTCCTTCCGGCCGACCGAATTATTAAAGCAGAAGGAACAGCTCGCGATTTAGGTTCTCGTTTCACAATCAGGAAAAAAGGAAGCTCGAAAATAAGAATTCGTCTTATTCCTTTTGCTACGCAAAACGAGAGGAAAAATAATGAAAAGTAACGAAAAATAACGCGTATTTTTTCACGCTCGAGGAGCCGGGTTCTAAATAAACCTATTCCTGACCTACTATCGCGTGTTGTACTTTGAGAAACGCTGCTCCACCTCCAAGATGGACCATGATTCCCATCGTTACCATTTCAGATCGTGAGATCGAGGCCTCGTTCGTATTCAAGCTGCAATTTGTTGCTCGTTAATGAACCTTCGCCTCTGCTTCGTTCGAGCGTAAACGAATTAATTAAATCGGTGCTTGGTCTGGCTGGGAGTATTGGCCTACTCGATTTTGGGAACGAGTGGTGGAAAAATGGAGCAAATCGCCGAATTAACCATTATTTAAATTCGAGACACGACTAGAATCGTGTTGGAATACTATCAGTAAAATATAAATTAAACGAAGGTTTGCAGAGAGAATATATGCAATTACTATTATTATTGTGATTAATACAATTTTATAAGTCCATATTTTTAGCGATTTTTATATTCTTTTTATTGGTTTGGGTTTATATATCGTGTGAAAAATTTTGGGAAAGGTGTCATTAAAAAATGTTATTTAATTTGAAAATACAAGTAATAGTAATTATTATTGTATTTGCTACAATTTCGTTAGTATATAATTAAATGAATTTTCCATATTTTTGTTAATTTGTATGCATCAATGTATTATGTAAAAAATTTTAGAGAGGGTATTATTTAATATGAAAATGTAAATAGTTGCTATTATTATTATATTTATTATAAATTTGTGTATCTATATTTAACTAAAGATTTTCCATATTTTTGTTAATTGGTATACATCAAAGTATCATGTAAAGAACTTTATAGAGGGTATTATTAAAAAATATTATTTAATATGAAAATATAAACAGTTGCTATTACTATCTGTATTTATTATAAATTTATATATCTATATTTATCTAAAGACTTTCCATATTTTTGTTAATTGGTATGCATCAAAGTACCATGGAAAAAAGACTTTCCAGACTTTCCATATTTTTGTTAATTGGTATGCATCAAAGTACCATGGAAAAAATTTTAGGGAGGTTGTTATTAAATAATGTTATTTAATATGAAAATGTATACAGTTGCTATTATTATTATATTTAATACAAATTTGTATATCTATATTTATATAACGATTTTTCATATTTTTGGTAATTGGTTTGAGTTAATTTAAACAATTTTGATAAGAGTGTGAATAAAGAATGTTATTTAATATGCACATATAATATTTCTCTTATGAAAATAGTTTATAGTGATTTTGGATTCAAGATTTATTTTGTCATGGTATTAATTATTGGATGATATAGTTGCACACTCTTTTCCTGTTTTCTTTTCTCATTCGGTAATAATGGCGGCTTCAATGTCATCTCCATGCAAGTTTTGATCCGAAATTCAGCGAGACGTATTTTTGTTTGATATATTATTTCCTCCTCTGCTCTCTGGAAGTAATTTCCTTGACAGCTCTCCAAAAGTAAAAGTTTCCTACTTTCTTAGTGTTCGTTTCCTCCTGCTCTTCACCTCGCTGCTTTTAATTATTTTCACGGCGTATTCATATCTACGTGCATGCACACACGTGCACTGAGGTCGTGCTCGCACACGTATACAATGTCGGGAAAAAATTCAAGGTTTTAGAAATATATAATATTCGCGTGCACGGACGGGAAATATTTTGTTAAAGAGTACTTCAAGGCAACTTCACTCTGTTGATGCAATAACACAATGCAGTAATTAATTATACATATTGTACTTGTATACT